CGTGGCGGTGAAGCTTGAGCAAGACTTGGCGCCCGATGGACGATGGCAATGGTGAAGAGCAAGTAGAGTCAAGATCGATGAACCAATATGATCATGTGATGATATGAAGTGGATCATATCATTGTTGATCGTGTTGGTGCATGTGTTGCATCGACATTGAAGGAGATGAAATGAAATCGCATGAGCAAAGGTATAACCTAGGGCATTTTATTTCACGGTCATAAATGTGTAGAGAAGTTTATGACCGGGTTTAGGATAGATGGCCGTACTATCAAGAGGAGCAAACTTGTTTGCATATCGGTCATCTAGTGCCACTCGAGTGATCTAACTTTGCATTGTCGCTAGGATCGAGTGGCGTGGCAAGTTGAGTGGCTAACATCCTTTGGGAAATGATTGTGAAAATGCTAACACACATACACATGGTGGTGTACACTTGATGGTGTTGGTACATTTACAAAGGAGGTGGTGTTTGCGAGGGTGAGATGGGTTTGGGTCCCTCTCTCCCCCGCCAAGCTTATGGCCGGGATTAAGCGCTTTCGGGAAAATAGAATACCTATTTTCTATTCGCGCGGATGCAAGTTCTTATGGTTAGCACCTTGGAGCAAGGGTGATGAAGTTAGAAGTGAAAAGCGAGTTAGTCGCGAAGATCTTGGCGTCGGTCAATGGCCGGATATTTGAATCTGAATCTGCCGGACGCCGGCTGGCATTGCGTCCCGGTCAGTAACGTCTGATGACGCAGAAGCTGAGTGTGTGCCGGACGTTGGCTGCGTCCGATCAAGTGTGGCCCGGACAGCGTCCGGTCGAGGTCGATACCTTCTTGAAGCAGCCGGACGGCGGGGGTTCGGCGTCCGGTCGGTTGATAATTCCGCGTCCGGTCAAGTCAAGTGACCGTTGGAACCGGGGAGCGACGTGGCCGTCATGCGCGGGCGACCGGGACGAGGAGGTCCGGCGTCCGGTCAACACGACCGGAAGGCGTCCGGTCGGCCCGACCGTTGCCCGATGAAGGGTAACGGCTAGTTTAGCTCTTGGGGCTATAAATAGAAGTGGCCCTCGGCCATGGCTGTGGTGAGCACCTCAAGGGACTTAGTGTCCATGCTTGTGAGTGCTTGGGAGCCCTCCATCACACACATACTTGATAGCGATCATCCGATTGTGTGAGTGAGCGATTCTAGTGCGATTGCATCGTGAGGTTGCATTGAGTGGCACTAGGCGATCGAGTT